CAATTTTCTTTGAAAATAAAAAGTCAGTCCCTAGTCAACATAACCAATTCAACATCACTTTTCTTGACATGAGCTGAGAGTTCTGAATTCAGATTTAAATTATGTTGACAATTAATATGCATGATGATATATCCTGTCAAAGGCCTAGATGGAACTTAGCTGGTGGTCAGAGGATATTGCTTTAGAGTCAGTGTGCTTGGGAATTACGTGCATCAGAAGGAAAGTGGACCACCTCATGAGACTGCATATTGGGTCTTTGCAAACGGTTAGCTGTAAAGTGCTTTCCTGCAGCTCAAAGAAATGAAAAGGATGAGATTCATTTTTCTCTCATTTTGTTTCCATCTGATTCTGTTCTGCTAGCAAAGTACTTGAAGTAAAGCATCTATTAATCTTGGAACAACCACTGAATTTAATTACCATGCCTAATGTTAGCTTGTACAAAGTGTTATAGGGATATGTTTTCTTCCATAAGAAGTACAGTACAATATGTTCTTCTATTTCAAATCCAGTTCACTTAATTCCAGTGCTTTGACAGGAAAAAGCAATACTGGTGCCGACCTTCATAGTCAGACAGCTCACTCTCTAAACTACACACCTGAAAAAAATCCCATCCCAATTGCCTTCATCACGACATGCTGCTATATAGAACTATTTCTGTCTCCCCCCTCAAAAAAATATAATTAGGAAAGCATGAATAATTATTGCATTCCAAGAGACCATGGTGAATGTTATTAGTGTATAAAGCATATTGCATGAATTTACCAGAGGTCTTTATTCTGAGTTCACATATGTTCTGCAAAGCTATCATTTTAAACTGCTCATAGAGTGCTGCTTAATGGCACATTCCATTTCCTTGTATGGCTACTCACCTTTTTGGGTGGGGTGACTGGCAGGTATTAAATGCTACATGCTGTGATGGGAATCTATACAAAGTTTATACTTCTCTGCACATTTTTAGGAAAGGCAAGTAAGACGAAAACAGAAAGTCATATTGATTCTCTCTGTGGGTCTCTTGAATTAAGAGGCCATTTAAAACTGGAAGGTTATTTGATCGGATGTTGGGTAATTGGATACAGGGTCAGCATGTACTTTAAAAACAACACTATTAACAACTGTGAAATGATAACCCTCCATCTTTCCAAAGGAGTGAAGGAAAGGAATTTAACTATAGTCACAATGCTATGGATTAGATCTCCAGAATTTATTCATCTTCTAACTGCAAGTTTGTACTCTTTGACTAACATCTCTGTGATTCCCCCACCTCCCAGCCCCTGGTAATCACAAACACTACAATATTACTCATATTGAAATATAAAATTATATCAAATAAACACATTGTACACCTTAATTTATACATTGTTATATGTCAATTATATCTCAATGAAAATTTAAAGTATAGAAAGAGGTATTTAGGTTGTGTATTTTGAAAACAGCAACAACACTAACATGAACTTATTAGGATTTGTCAAACAGTATATTTTCTCTGGAGAGTCTAAGAAGGGGAAGATGACTCCCATGCTGTCATACTTGAACTGCTAGTCAGATTGGGCTAGAAAGCATCGTAAATTTTTTGAACCTTTGAGACAGGCATAGTCATGCCAAGGAGGTGATCTTATGAGGTCAAGTCAGAAATAGTTATTTCAAAGAAGTGTCACAACCTGTGTTCACCATTATCCATGCTACTCTGATTTTTCTGTCATATTTAAGCTCTGATCATTATTAAAACTGGTTTTATATTATAATAATACTAGAGGCCCATTGCATGAAATTCGTGCACAGGGGGGAAGTGTCCCTCAGCCCAGCCTGTACCCTCTCCAATCTGGGACCCCTTGAGGGATGTCTGACTGCGGGATCGGGCCTAAACTGGCAGTCGGACATCCCCTTCACAATCCAGGACGACTGGCTCCTAACCACTCACCTGCCTGCCTGCCTGATTGCCCCTACCCTCTCTCCCTGCCTGCCTGATCCCCCTAACTGCTCTCCCCTGCTGGCCTGATCATCCCTAACTGCCTCTGCCTTGGCCCCACTACCGTGGCTTTGTCCAAAAGGACGTCCAGATGGTTGTCCGGAAGATGTCCAGTCTAATTAGCATATTACCCTTTTATTAGTATAGATATACTGTGCCTCAGTTTTACTCTTCTCTAAAAGAACCACACACACTAAAGCTTTCGAATGTGACAATAAACAATAAAAATAAGAATAATCCTATAGTTGAATTATGATTACAATCATACATATTTTCACAATTATATTTTTTCTATTTAAATTCTCAATACCTCCCTCATATATCTCTTGATTATGCGTCCTTCCAAATCCTACAGGACTAGGGGCAAGGCTGTGTACACCCCCATTTTTTCCTTTGGCTATTGGGCATTTATCGCAAACAGAACATCTGAGGTTTAAGAAGCTGACCCAGACCCATGCCTGCCCCTGGCTAGGGATGGGGCAGTCTTTCTTCACCTCATGCCAGGCCCCCAGCATTGAGGTAGCTGCATCTTAAGCCCCCACAGTACAACTCCCCAGGCTTGCTGAATTCCCATGTAGATCCAAGCCTGAAGGGGAAGAGGAAAGAAGAAATGCAAACAGGAGAAGCCCCAGCTTCAATGGAAAATGCCCATACCTCCAACAAACATTTCAGCCTTTGAGAAAAGGCTCCTTCCTGCCTATCCATCCCACTGGCAGAGGGTATAGAGTGGCTGGCTGCTGGGTTGGTGGGTCATTGCTGCTCCAGGCTGTCCTCAGTCACCCCCTGGTAGTTGGGGTCAGGGTAGCTATGGCCTGTCACATTGTGGTCCATCTCTATCTTATGGTGGATCACATTCCACACTACCATGTCAGTCTCACTTGTGGTGTTGGGCATCTCCACTGTGAAGATAAGTCAACTCTTCCAGGCCACCTTCAGCAGCTTTAGGACCTTATGGCTTGGGCATTGTCCAGAAGGTAGCACTAGCAGGGAAACCCTATGGTAGTAAATGGCTTCCTGGGGTTGGGGTGGTTCAGGGCCCTGAATGCCATAAGGAATATTGTAAACTATGAGTATTATCCCACAGTCCTTGTGGCCAGTGAGTGACACCTGGAAACTGATCACCTTCATCTTCCCCTGAGGCTGAGTACCAGTTTTCTCTCCATAGATGGCTTTGCAGGAAGGACATGTAAACTTCCATCCTTGTTCCCATTGCAGTACATGGCCATCAGGCAGAACATTTGGAAGGCATAGCTACACTTGGTGAGGCAGCCCATAGCCACTGACATGATGGTCTTGCTGTTGGTCACATCACTCATTTTCATATTCCATACTTCCCTGCTCAAGTAACCAAACCCCTTCATTGCTGCTGCACCTTCATCTGGAAGGCTTACCTTGCATTGCTGCCACCACTCCTATTCCACACTCCCATCTTCAGAGCTCTAAATTTTCCTCATCCTTCTATACTAAGTTTAAATGCAGGTCCCTGAAATTACTCCTGACCACACAAAACCTCCCATTTCTCTATTTACTATAATCCTTTAACTACACCTTACTGGTTATACAGCTCTTGTTCTCTTTTGAACCTTTTGTTCATTCATTTGTGCAATAATTATTTATTAAATGTTTCCTATGTGATAGGTGATGACTATAAATTAGACACCATGTACATCTGGGTCCTCAGAAAGCTCCCATTCTCTCAGGAAATGTAGTCATTAAGGAAAAAATGACAAAAGTGGAAAATTCTAAAAAACACACAGAATAGTATAGGTGTGCCCCAAAGGTTATGTTTCTAACCTAGTTTAATGGGTCAGAAATATCTGTCCTTGGTTAAAAGGTATCAGGTTATATGACACAAGGGTTGAATTACACTTTACTTGGCTGGAGTACCACAAGACAAAAATTCATTGTTCTGGAAATCCCAGAGCAACCCACTCATATCCACACTTAGTTTGGACTTCAGAAAGCATATGATTCAATTGCAAATAATGTCAAGAAAAACTGGACCCACAGTGTATATATCTAAGAGTCCCCTAGAGGTTCACAAAGATTTGAAGCTGCCCATTCACAGGACTTTTCCTGAGTCTTGTCTACAGGCCAGGCCTGGTACCATGTGCTAATGATACAGTGCTGATAATGACAAGCTCCCTTCCTTCAAAGAGCTAGTGGTCTGGCAGGAAAGACACACCTGTGAACAAATAATAGGTTATTGATTCATGTATCTCTTCATCTGGCTCAGTGCTTCTAGCTTTGTATTCTCCTGCCAAATCCCTTGCATCTCAGACCCTGCTTATCTACTTCACTAATGAGGGAGTCATCAACTGTCTATTCCAAGCTAGTTCTTGTGTGACACTTGTGGAGACTCTGAGAACAAATCCTGAGCTTTCTCAGACAGAATCTCTATGGTCGTTCTAATTGGGGTATCAAGCTGTGTCTGCTGAGTCCCCAACTACTGTGGAAAAACAATCAAGGAGAGGATCTCCTACTCATCTATTTTATCCTCTTATATAGTTCCCTTATTTTCAGTCTTAGAGACTCATTTCCATGACAGAATATCCCATCACTTTTGTTCTAGGAAATTTGAAGAGCAGATGGAAGGATGGAACCCATAGCTTTTTTCCCCTTTTGAAATTTTGTACATATATGAAAAGCAGAGAATCCCCAACAGCTATAATGTAATATTATATTAAAGCTCTTTATGCTATTAGAAGAGTAAACAGTAAATTTCCTGTGGGTAGGCACAGTCTCTTGTTCCTATCCCCTGAATCATTTAGTGCAGTGTCTTTTACTTAGTACACACTTAGCCAATAGAGTAAGTGTGAATAAAGAATGGATGAATGAACAAACAAAGGAATAAAAAAATTCATTGGAAAAGATAAAGAACAGGAAACCAAAAACATTTAGAGTCAATCATGAAAGTGGAACTTGTGCCTGGCCAGCATGGCTCAGTGATTGAGCATCATTGACCTATGAATCAGGAGGTCACAGTTCAATTTCTGGTCAGGGTACATTCCCCGGTTGTGGGCTGGATCCCCAGTGTGGGGAGTGCAAGAGGCAGCCAATCAATGATTCTCTCTCATCATTGATATTTCTACCTCTCTCTCCCTCACCCTTCCTCTCTGAAACCAATGAAAATATATTTAAAAAAAGAAAATGGAACTTGAAGAAAGGAATTATGCCATTCCACTATTTTTAGTTATATTTGGTCAGTCTGGCTAATCTAATCTAATAAAAGACAAACATGCAAATTGACCGTACCTTTGCTACACCTTAAGCCACGCCCACCAGCCAATCAGAGTGACTATATGCAAATTAACCCAACAAAGATGGCGGCCGGCAGCCACCAAGCTGGAGCGAGCAGGAGGCTTGGTTGCTCCTGTGATGGAGGAAGCCAAGCTTCCTGCCTGCTGCAGCCGGCTCTGAGCTCCACTGAAGGCAACAAAGTTTCAATTATAGAAGGT